CACTCAAGGACGAAACATATTGACATTAGGCATCATTTCATTAGAGATCATGTTCTCAAAGGTGATGTCGAAATTGAGTTCGTTGAAACACACAACCAATTAGCCGACATTTTCACAAAACCTTTAGAGAAAGAGTCGTTCTTCCGCATTCGTAGTGAACTCGGAATCCTTGACTCCACGATGATCTAAATTGTGCATTGATTATTATTTTTGGTCCCTACAAACTTGAACGTCGGAGACGTTTTTAATTCTTTTTTTGCAGGGATTTTCTTTTAAATTTTATTTTTCAGGTGTCAAAGGCAGGGGGAACAAAGTAAATTGATTTTTGCTTCAGACCTGGTGTAAATCGATTTACAGGCTTGTGATAATCGACTATCACAGCCTGCAGAAGTTTAAAGCACAGAAGCTGAAGGAGTAAACAATCGATTATCAACATTAAGATAATCAATTATCTGAGCCTGCAGAAGTTTAAGGCAACTCAGGCGCAAACTCCAACAATCGACTTACCAAAACATGACAATCGACTATTGAAGACTGCAGGACCATCAGCAGAGAATCTGAGGCATCTGATAATCGATTTACAACTTATGTTAATCGATTATCAACGGCGATTTTTCAAAAATCTGACCGTTGCAGAGACGTTGGAGAGCAGTTAATGCCTTGTTTGACCATCCCAACGGATCTCTACACCTCCTCCACTATATATTGGTGATATCTACTCCATTTTTACTCATTCCAATCATCTCTTCTCCATATATTCATCATAATTCATCATTCTTGCTCCTATTCTTCATTTCTTTGAAAAATTTCTGCAATCTCTCTCTCCTCGTTGCAATGGCAGGCGGTCAAAGAAAGCGTTCCCGCACCGGCAAGAACGTTGCTTCCTCTTCGGCTCCTCCACCACCGGCGCACAAGTATCTCGACGGGTCGTTCCTTTGGTTCAACGACCATGCAGAGGCGACGCGGTTCTCGGAGAAATTTGAGCACCAAGAGATTCTCCCTCCCCGGTTCTCCACAGCCCGCTTCATTCATGACTCCATTCCACGTGAGGCACGGATTATCCTCGAACGTGGAAACTTCCTCGATCTCCTCTACATCAAGAAGGTCAATTATCAACCCTTTCTTGTTCGAGCTTTCTACTCGAACTTGAAAAAGGATGAGGACGGAGCATTGATCTCTAACGTCAACGGGGTGGACATCAATTTGAATGAGGAGAACATTCAAATCCTCACCGGGCTTCGTCAGGACGGGCAGGATCTCGGGCTTTACGCCGGAGAAGAAGGAGCGCGGTTCAATGAGACCGCTCTCTTGGAGGAAATGGGCATCCAACACTTCGTACCCACTCCCCAACAGCGGCGCCCTACGATTGCTTCCATGAATCCCGTGTTTCGATTCATCTTTTATGTTTTGACACGGATTCTCAAGCCCATGAAGTTCAATCACACCACTCTCTCCCAGGAGGACACGAAGACAATTCATGCGATGATTCACAACGCCAATCTCAATTGGTGTAAATTTGTGATGACTCACATGTTCACGGCCACCTCCGACAATCGGCCGCTCCCCTACGCCCTCCTTGTCATGGCAATTCTTGAAGAATACAACATCAAAACCGATGTTGGGCCAAAGATAAAGGGGACAAAGCATTGGGAGATTGATGAATCTTCTTTCCACTCGGGCACCGACGAGACTCCGTTTCGACAGCCTCGTCCACGCCGCCAACCNCTCCACCACCGGCGCACAAGTATCTCGACGGATCGTTCCTTTGGTTCAACGACCACACAGAGGCGACGCGGTTCTCGGAGAAATTTGAGCACCGGGAGATTCTCCCTCCCCGATTCTCCACCGCCTGCTTCATTCATGACTCCATTCCACGTGAGGCACGGGTTATCCTTGAACGTGGAAACTTCCTCGATCTCCTCTACATCAAGAAGGTCAATTATCAACCTTTTCTTGTTCGAGCTTTCTATTCGAACTTGAAAAAGGATGAGGACGGATCGTTGATTTCAAACGTCAACGGGGTGGACATTTATTTGAATGAAGAGAACATTCAAATCCTCACCGGGCTTCATCGGGACGGACAGGATCTCGGGCTCTACACTGGAGAAGAGGGGGCGCAGTTCAATGAGACCGCTCTCTTGGAGGAAGTGGGCATCCGTCACTTCGTACCCACTCCCCAACATCGGTGCCCTACGATTTCTTCCATGAGTCCCGTGTATAGTTTCATCTTCTATGTGTTGACACGGATCCTCAAGCCCAGAAAGTTCAACCACACCAATCTCTCCCAAGAAGACACGAAGACGATCCATGCGATGATTCACAACGCCAATCTCAATTGGTGTAAATTTGTGATGACTCACATGTTCACGGCCACCTCCGACAATCGGCCGCTCCCCTACGCCCTCATTGTCATGGCAATTCTTGAAGAATACAACATCAAAACCGATGTTGGGCCAAAGATAAAGGGGACAAAGCATTGGGAGATTGATGAATCTTCTTTCCACTCGGGCACCGACGAGACCCCGTTTTGACAGCCTCGCCCACGCCGACAACCAAGAGCCACTGCCTCAGCCGCCACCACATCGACCAATCCTTCTCTCGCCGAGCAAATGGCAGCCTTAACCGCCACTCTCTCTCGGATTGACACCAACGTCTCCAAAACGACACACAACGTCAATACCTTGAGCCGTGAACTTCACGGGTATTTTGACTTTGTCAATTACCCGTACGCTCAAATGGTCCCTTACGTTCCTCCACCGAATTTCGGAGGTAAACAAAGTGGGACTCAAAACGTTGGTAGAGACGAGGTGGATGAAGAGGAAAATGAAGAAGAAGAAGAAGAAGAAGAAGAAGATGATGATGATGATGATGATGGCGATGGCGATGAAGATGAAGAAGAAGAAGAAGACATTGACGAAGAACAACTTCTCAATGATCTTTCCCCGGACTTCTAGAGCTCTAGCTCTACTTTCTTCTCTTCCTTATTTAATCATCTTTTAATATGCTTTCGTTGTGTACTCCGCTTTTTCCCTTAATTAATTAATAAAAATCTTTATGATTTTTGTTGTTACAAATCTTTTTGTTAATGTCAAAAGGGGGAAGATAAGGGCTATGCACATTTTCAGGGGGAATTTTTTTTAAGGGGAAATTTTATTTTCAAAAAGATCAAAACCCTATGCATATCCCCGTCTTGTTTTCCATTATCAAAAAGGGGGAAATTGTTGGAACACACATTGTACGTTAAACTAAAGTCGTGTTCATTTCTGACAGGTTTTGATAATTGCCAAACCGCCGTGGATATGAAGAGTTTCGTTGAATAACTCAAGGCGTGAAGAATGGCTTGGAACAAGACCTAAAAGACTCAAGGACAAGATCAAGAATTGAAGACTTAGTCGAGTCGGTCTTTTGTGATCAAAACCGATAATCA